GCATCCGCAGTTTTCTTTATCCGCTACATGATTGCAGGCCATGGCTTTGCGTAATTCGAGTCCCTTATATCTTCGTGTAGTAATATTAATACGTGATAATTTAATGTACTTTAAGTTTAAAATCACTTAATTTATATGCGTGTTATGTTGTTGAATTAAAAAACAGGAGGTGTGTGCGTTTTATACCGATCCCATAAATATAATCAATTACTAAAATATTTCTAATTGAACTTGTTGATTTTATTTCATTTTCTTGACGGTTTAAATCTTTCAAGGGTGATAAATATTCAGGACGGATTCATAAAAAATGTTGACGATATTTCAACCCAAACATGTGGGTCATTATCGGGGCTGAAAATTTTAAAATACAATCAGCGATATAATATTATACGACCTTAATATTACCCCTTAGTATAATATTCATTTTTAATATTGTGTATTGTAGTAATAGTTAAGATTCATGTACCATCAATTACTTTATTATTTACCATTATCGGTCGTATAATGCTTTTATTTTAAAATTTTCAGTCCTGATGATGACTGACATGTTTGGGTTGAAACATCGGCTCAAATAAAAAAATTGTATGGCTGCCTTTATACCTGAATTAGACCTGAATATTTATCACCCATGATATGTAGAACAGTCGACCAGCTTCCTTCAATAATTCTTTAAATCCTTTAATTATTTAAGGAAGGAGATGGTCCGGGGTTGCGGTCATAAATAGAGGAAATAGAGGCAAAACTATTTTATTTAAAGTCAATGTTTCGACCCGACTTTGCAGGTCTTCTTCAGAGAGTTGTGTTCAGTAAGGAGTTTGGCTCAGAAATATTTAGAAATAGAGTTTTTGTTCTTTTTTTTTATAGTCTTAATGATTTGTTAGGTTTAACCATTAGCTACATTAAAAATGTACTTTAACCTAACTTTCGCTCGTACATTAATATACCTTCAATAACCTTCCATTCTCTCAAGGATGACTTTTTAGGAAAGAAAGAGGTTACATAAAAGGTTAAAAACATAATATATATATATATATATATTATTTGTGTGTGTGTGTGTGTGTGTGTGTGTGTTTATATACTTACTGATCTATGCCGGCAAGCTCTGGATCAATATCTCGGAGCAAATAATGGATATGATGATATCATATATTATATGACCTGAGGAGGATAGAGCGAAATTAAGAAGACTCCAGATCAGAAATATGAGTGTGAAATAACTTGATAGTAAAAGTGACCAAACTTATAATAGAAGAAAAAACGATACGGTAAGTTGGCCGAGTTATATGAATACCGGAGGAAATAATCACGCATGAAACGAGAGTACAGAAAATAAGGCCTTAAATAATACTTAGGAAACAGAAATACTTAGGAAGGTGCAATTTAGGAACCATTTGACCAGAGAATGGAATAGAGATTCGCTACACCCCTGTTACACTTCTTAAGGGGGCATGATGAAAAATATTATAAATGAGTATAATGTGATAAAGTACTATATAAATTGTAGTTACGAAATTAGATCCAAATTATCTCTATCAATTAGTTATTGTTAATAATTTTCCATATTTAATATACATTTCTGTACAACAGTCTATTCTAATATAGACTTTTTTTTTTATAATCAAAACATAAAACGGATTTTACACACAAAGCTTACGGTAACAGCTGCTTAGAGAGATGCTATCGGATTTTTCTCGAATCTCATTCAAGTAGCTCTCGTGCAGATTGGCTTTGGGTATGGATAATCCTAAACACTCGAGAATCTTTTTGTTAGCATGTTAGAAAACATATCTCAGTAGTTCTATTTTTAATAGTTTATACCCCATACCCTTCGAAAATGTTCCAACTCTAATACAGTTTTATGCTTTATTTTTTATTTTAACGAGATACTTTAAACTGTATGACAGAGATTGAAAATCTCTATATTACAAGGGAATACACCAGGTTTCAATCCTCTTTTTTTTTTAATAAGGTTTTTTATTTCGCATAAAATAATAATTAAAAATTTATAGCATTCTTAATAACAACCGAAGCACTCCACCAAGTGCCTAAGAAAGCTCAGTATTTTTGACAAAAATTTACAACTGTATACTAAGGACTTCAAAATTCCCTTTACAATGGAAATACTCACTCATTAAGATGATTTACAAACCCGGTAAAGGCCACGGGCGGATCTATGGGGGTGCCTTTCGGGCTGAAATCCCCCCTTCCTCTCCCAAAATGGTAAAATGTAACCATGTTTTATGGCAAAAAATATTAAAAATTATCTCTTAAAGTATTATTGTTTGTGTAATTACATTTTAAAGGACTTCAGGAGTCACTTAAACACCATTTCATATAAATAGTTAGTTTCTTTTTTTTTTTCAAAGTAATCATAGTCATTTTTATGAAAAAAAGAAAAGCTTTCGGGCTGAAGCCCAGCCCCCCAAATTAAACCCTGGATCCACTAATGGTACAGGTATATACAGTCCTTCATCCAACTGACCCATTAGCATCCTTCCTATATGCTCTAAAGTTTTTGAAAAATTAATATGCAAAAGACTTGTCGATATATTGACTGACCAATAGGTAATACCTGACCACCAATTCGGCTTTCACACATTCCATTCGACGACACATCAATTGCACAGAGTTACAGACTACATTGTTGGAGCTTTAGAACAAAAACTATATGCAACTGGAGTATTTTTGGATGTTGCTCAGGCGTTTGATAGAATCTGGCACCAGGGTCTTCTCTTTAAATTTAAGACTATACTGCCATACTCGTACATCTTATCCTTCAATGTTTCCTCTTCAACAGTCTTTTTTTCAGTTCGGCAGTGCTCGGAAATGTCTTCAGCCCGTCCAATCTTGGCAGGAGTTCCCCAATGTTCAAAACTAGCCCCTCTACTTTGCGTTATAGACACTTACGATATACCTATTAACGATGAGATCTTGACAGCTACTTATGCAGACGATACAACAATCCTCACAAAACATCAAGACCCTACACAGGCCTCACTAACTCTACAACATCATTTGCTTAAACTACAAGATTGGTTCACACTATGGAAAATTCGACTTAATCATGACAAATCCAAACATACAACATTTAGTCCTCGAAAAAACACCTGCCCTCCAGTTTATATTGACAACGTCAAATTCCTCAAACGGACACGGTACTTTACCTTGGACTCTTCCTCTTCAACATAAGGAGGACATGGAACCCGTATGTTAAAATGAAACGTAAGACACTTAACAAACGACTCATAATTGTGGATTGATGGTTGATTGTAGTGAATAATGAAGAGACGGATAGTTGAGGTGATCAGTCAAAATAAAAATGGCAAAAATAAATAATAATATTTATTTTAACATTTGTCAAAACTACTCTCTTTTTCTAAATCTTCCAAACTAAAACTAAAACAGAGACTGAATACATATACATACCTACTTAAGCTCATATGGACATACTCATCACAAATATACGGCATCGCTACAAAAACTTCAAACGTTCCAATCAAAATTATTGCGACTCAAAGCAAAAGCATATTGGTACGTAACTAAAACAACTCTACATACTGACCTTCACCTTCTAACAGTTGACCAACATATAACGATCCTTTATCAACGATTTTACACTAATTTAACAGACTAATAAGAGACATGGCCACAGCTGACATACCTCGCAACATGAGGAGGAGACTAAAAAGGCATTGTATGAGAGATCTCCTTCCTTAAACAACCTATCTAATTGGAACAAGTTAGGGAAGAGGTACTGCTGAGTACTTTCCTTCCCCATGCCTGTCATGTCATTATTTCCTGTATCACCATCACATTTGCTGATTGTCCACAATAAGCTGACAAGCGCCAATACACTTTTACGGACAAAAAAAATGCACTAAATCATTTTAATTGAAATAACCACTGAAGATGTAACTACTAAAAGAATATATATCAATGTTGATTATTTGTACTAAAATTCAAGCCAATATTTTCAAGTAAAATCCTTACCTGGAAAACACTAAATTAATGAAATCTGATCTCTATCATACAAACTACTAACAAAAAAAAACTCCTATCACTCCAATTATCTTTGGCATTTCCATGATCCTAGTGGAATATTAGTTCGATGAAAATCCCACTCTATTCAACCATTGTTATTATATTATTAATTATTCCCTTTTATTGCTGAAATTCACATTTTTTTTTAGGTTAAAATAATTTAAATTTCTGAAGATATCATTTATTTTCATTAACAAGCTTATTACACTCTGCATTTTTTGTTTCGTAATATATTATAATAAGTTAAAAATCAAAAATGATAAATATCACAAACTTAATAATGATTTAATAAACAATTTATTTATCCATAAATCATTTTTTCGTAGATCATATAAATTAATACATATTATACAACTGTATTCCTTAAATTTTTTTAGCAAACAGTGTTTCGATATCCACACACACGTGTTAATAATATAAAAATGTAATAATTAAACAAATATTTACATAACTTAATACATAATGAAAACTCTACATCACAGTCTTAACTTAGGCACAACAACCAATAATGATAATTTCATATTAAAGTATTATTCAGTATTTTGATATTAGGCACTTGCAGTTTTAAGCTTATCACTCAGTCTTATACAAAGCCGGGTATTAGGGGTCACCCTGCGAACATTTTAAAAATTATCACTTTAGTCGGCAATAGCCATTTTTTTATTGTTATTTACTGCAACAGCTATTTATTTTTTTCTTACTGCAATAATAATTCATCGTTGATAAAAAATATTATATCTGTTTATAGTTCCCAATTAATCTCAATAGCATAACAGTCTTAGCAAGACAAATTTCTAAATTTCAAGTAAATCAAGTGTCAGCTTGCGAATTGACTTCAAGCATAAACTTTATTAATCGAAATCTGCTTTCAAATTATCTACTCCAATAGCACAGTCCATTTTCAGTTATTTTTCTTATACAATATTCTCTTATCTTGAGAAATTCGAAATTTCATATTTAAAATAAGAGATTAGAACTAAACTGAAATAATGTCAGAAAGAGAAGGCCTCAGGGCATCACGTAGTTTCTGCCAGAAAATCCTTTGCCTTTTAGGATCCGAATGCCACTGAAGATACACCCTCGTCTTCATGAGGTAGCGTAACGTGGGGGTCATATGAGCCTCCATTACATCGCCGAGCTTAACCAGGATCAAAGAATCCTCATGTCCCTCCTGTTTGAAGAAGATCCTCTTGTGGTGAGCCATTTGTAGCTCCCACTGGCACCACTGTGAGCGAGCGAAGGCGTCCGTCAAGATCAAAATACTCTTCCTAGAAGATGAGAGGCAGTCCACGACGCTTTGGGATATGATATCACCGGCTTTGAAGTCCCTCTCGAAAACGCAAAGGCGGTAATACGGGTCGTAGTTCTCCAACATGGCTACTAGACGAATAACGAAATTTCTGTCCTCGTTACAGTAAGAGACGAAAGCGTCGTATTTGTACTTGCCTCTAGTGGATGATAACTTCTTCCCCGGGAAGTTGGATCGCCATTTCTGTCGAAGGAGGAACACCCAGTACCTGATGTACCACCGGAGATAGTACGCAGCAACCATGCAAACAATCAGCGTTACCAAGAAGAATACACCCATCGCTGCTCCTATGAGGGCCCATGGAAGGCACTCGTAGCTGTCAGAATTGAGTGCAAGGAAATCGGTTACTCTTTGCTCTATCCATTGCTTTGGTAAATAACATTTAACGGCCGGATCATTTATTCCATAGCTCTTCTTCAAGTAATCAACACCTGAATCTTGAAAAGCACGGACTAGAGTGCAAGTGCAAGAAAACGGATTGCTCCTTAGTTTCAACACTTCTAAACCAGCAACATCTTCGATCATTTCGTTAGTGAATTTGTATATGTGATTTGAGTTCATTAGTATTTCTCGAAGCTTGTAGTTCTCCGAAAAGAGCCTTTCGTTCCAAGGTAGAAGTCCATTGTTTGACACGTCCAAAATCTCCAAATTGGGAAGTACAGTGAACTGAATGGGAACTAGTTTCGCTAATTTGTTGTCTTTCAGAGTCAAGTATTCGAGATTAGGAAGAAACTTGAATATTTCGGGTTCAAAGAAACTAGAAATGTCACAACTGTCGAGGCGTAACGATGTGAGATTGGTTAGTCCGTAGAAAGCGGCGGCCGGTAGTGCGTCCTTTTTTGCGAACTTGTTGTGGCTGAGGTCCAAGTACTCGAGGCTTGTCAAATTTTCGAAAGAATATTCGAGAATATGAAATATGCTGCAATTAGACATGTATAGATTCCGAAGAGAATAGAGCCCAGTTAACATGTATCTGGAAACATGGAACAGGTAATTGTTAGATAGGGTAAGGTGTTCTAATGAGATCATAGCGGCCAATGAATTGTCTTCAATTTCGAAGTGAGGCATGACTAGGCAATTTTCACAAACGTTATCGGAGAGGTCTAGTTCCACAAGACTGCTCAAGCGCAAACCTGGTAAAAGACCAGGGAGTCTGTTTTTAGAGAAGATTAGTCGCTCCAAATTTGGCAAAGCTGGGCTAAACGTTCCTGGTTGCAGTTCATAACCTGAAACTGCACTCAAGTCCAGTTCCCTGATGTTAGGCATTAAAGGGAACGGACTATCTTCCAAAGAACTCGGGATGACAAACTCGAAATGGTTTTCTTTGAGATCTATCGATGAAATATTCGTTTGAGCGACTAAACTGAGAAATTCGTAAGGGTTTTTGTTGAGGAAATTCGAACCTATACCAAGGTGTCGCAGAAGAGGAGCTGTTCTATTCAAATTGATGACTAGCTTTGAAAGGGTTTCGGTAGACAGTTTGTTATTATCCAAGTTGAGGACTTTCAATTCTGTAAACCATGAAAATGAGTTAGGTTCTATTGAATACAAACCGCAGAGGCTCAATGTTAGGGTGTCCAGTCCCGAACCTTCCATCTCTGCAAAATCTTCTCTAGTTATGGCTTGGAAGGGATTGTCTGAAAGATCTAAGTATTTAAGACTCGGTAGTAAAAAAGGTCTCGAAGCGAGTGTGATCGAGAAAATTGACTTGATGTTATTCTTAATTAGCCTCAACTCCTGTAGACTGTTGAGCCCTGAGAAAACATCTGAGGGTAAGGTTTTGAGGTTATAGTTATTACTGATAGTCAAATTCGTGAGTGAGGCGAGGGGTTTGAAAGCCCCTCCTTCGATTTTGTTGAGGCCAGAGTTCATGTTGATGGATAAGGAGAGAAGGTGACCCCACGATTTGAAGGCCTCTTCCCGGATGGCGCCGATGTTGGTGACGATGATGGTCAACGAAGTGGCTGGCTCTCCAGGGTACTCGGGCACTCGAGTGCAGTTCTTGCCGTAGACAAAGAACTGATTCACCTTGCAGATGACGAACCTGCACCCATCAGCTTCTGGGAAGTATACGGCGTCGTCGGGGGAAGCGTCTGAGGGGAACATCTCGGCCGGCCAATCCCCGCTCCCCCGCGCTCCTTGAGCCACCACCGCAGCCACCAGTATCATTGACAGCATCGTAGTACAACATAATAATCTGCAACAAGAAAATATCTATCAGTATATTTATCCTTTAAATATGGACATTGGCATGGTGAAAATACTGCTAAGTATATTATATAAATTATGTAACTATATATTTTAGATTTTTATAGATTAAATATATTTTCATTATAATAATAAGATTCTTTATTAATTGTGGGACAAGTCCCTTCAGAATAATACAATTGAGGGATATAGAGTCTCAGAGTTTTATAAAAACAATGATAAAATAAACAAATAGAAATATTAAAAATAAGTTAACTTCTCACATTAATGAATTAAAAAATAAAATAATAATACTTATTAACAAATATATAAACTTATAATTTATATATATTTATATATATATATATATATATATATATATATATATATATTATATATATATATATATATATATAAATCTATTTACAATTGTTCGGGAACTGGAGATACAGGAAGGGTTTGCATAGGCAGGATTTAAAGGTGGGTAAGGTATTAGAGTGATATATCTCCGCAGGGACGAGGATCGAATAACGAAAGATCTGTCACAGATAGTTGAGTAATTGTATATAAATCAGAAGACGGAGGGAATTGCGAGAGTGAACAGAGGATTTGAGCTGATGGAGAGACCGATGTTGATCCAAGCATCATAAATATGGACGATGACAAAGGCTGATGGTAATAGCTTCCTTATATTGAAAGTTTTGTGACCAATATACGGTCATGTAAAAGAAGTAAAAGTTTGGAAGAGACGAAGACAACGGGAGGTATGCACTCTGTATAATGACTTAAATGTCGTCGACTTCATAAAACTTGGAAGATTACGAACTCGTAAGTTGGGCCGGCAAAGTGATTCGGATGGAGGAGGATGGTATTCCCAAAAGAGTCTCTGAGTATAGGATTGACCGAACAGGAGGAAAGGCAGACCCAGACTAAGAAGAATGGATAGCGTGGCGACTGACTCCAGGATACTATCTGAAACACCTCGCCGGATGGCAGAAGCTTCTAGATGAGTCAAAGTCGAGTCGTAGCGTCAACGAGATAGATATTTTGCTGTGGGAAAAACTAACCTTTATTAAAGGAAGGAGATGGTCCGGGGTGGCGGTCATAAATAGGCTAAATAGTGGAAAAATGATTTTATTAAAAGCCAACGTTTCGACCCGACTTTGCAGGTCTTCTTCAGGGCTAGAACGGACAAGATACAAAAAGATAGAGAATTGTGGAAGCTACATAATATTTAGACAAAAAATTATAAACAATAGCTTTGCCACTATTTAGTCTATTTATAACCGCCACCTCGGACCATCTCCTTCCTTTATAATGGAACAGTCTATTAAACTTTTAAATATTCAATAATCTTTATTAATTAAATTGTTGCTTTGACAGTCCTGATAAAGTATGGAGCTTCGCCAATTGTATTGAATAGGCGATCAACAAATTACTATTATAAGTAAATTTAGAATTTCTGTATTTTATTTTAATTTCATTTCCTGGAGGAGATTACAATGCTAAACACCAACGGTGGGGTTGTCGAACATCCAACTCCCGCGGTAACATCCTTTCCTGTCTCTCATCTTCTAATAGTTATTCAATCCTCTCGCCCATGAGTCCTACTTATTGGCCAACATCCCTCAAAAAACGTCCCGATATCCTGGATATATTTATCACCTCCCAGATTTCCTCCTCCCAAACTATAATCAAATCCCTGGATGACCTTTCTTCAGACCATAGTCCGGTTCTGCTTTCATTACATTCTGACTTTGCTCCTAAACCATCACCTCCCAAACTGATCACTGGACGAGTAAACTGGGACAAATTTCGTGATGATTTGGAAAACAAACTTGACCTCAAAATTCCGCTAAAGACAAAAGAAGACATTAATGGTGCCATAGAAAAACTGACATCAACAATAACAGACAGTATAAATAATAATACCTTTATCAATAAGATTAACAAACTACAAAATACTAACTTGCCACAGCATATTCGCATCTTATTAAAGGAAAAACGCAGAGCAAGATCGAAGTGGCATCGAACTAGATACCCGACAGATAAAGCGCATTACACCCAACTGACTAACAAACTGAAATCAGAAATAAGAAAATACAAAATTCAAAATTTACTAAATTTTACTGAAAAACTTACACCTACCGATAAATCACTATGGACGACCACTAAAGGGCTCCTGAAATTTAAGGACTGCAACCATCCACTACTCACTGAAGCCCAAACCTGGTCCAAATCCGACGAAGAAAAATCCCAAATATTTGCCCACCACCTCTTTAAAATCTTTAATCCACATTCCGATATTCTTAACCCAAATCACCTTGAATGTATTGAAGCAGAACTGGATATCCCACTCCAAATGACTCCTCCTCCTAAAGCCTTTCATCCTTCAGAAATATCCAACATCATTCACAGGTTACCTTCCCGCAAAGCTCCTGGACACGACCTAATTACATCCTAGATCCTAAAACTACTTCCTCGGAAAGCCATTCTATTCCTTACATATATATATAATGCTGTACTCCGATCAACATATTTTCCCGACCCTTGGAAACTATCCATTATCAAAATGATACATAAACCCAAAAAGCCACCAGAATACCCATCCTCTTACCGTCCTATCTCTCTTTTACCCATCATGGGAAAAGTCCTAGAAAAACTCATCCTAAAACGCCTGTACCCAATCCTAGATTCTAATCACATAATCCCAGATCACCAGTTTGGATTCCGCAGATCCCATTCCACTATCCAGCAATGCCATCGTGTGGTGGATGTTGTCTCCTCTGCATTAGAGCGCGGAATGTACTGCACGGGAGTCTTTCTCGATGTAGAACAGGCTTTTGATCGAGTCTGGCACCCGGGATTACTTTACAAACTCCGTAAATTCCTACATCCTACATACTTCCTCATTATCCGTTCCTATCTAACTGATAGATACTCAAAAGTCAATCACAATAATGCTTATTCATCCCTCTTTTCCCAGTCCGCTGGTGTTCCTCAAGGTAGTATCCTTGGTCCTATCCTTTACACAGTTTATACAGCTGACATCCCAACCCATCCTAACACTGTTATTACCACGTATGCCGATGATACATGTGTCCTATCCGTTAATAATGACCCAACCATTGCATCCCAAACTCTTCAATCGCACATCACAAGCCTTGAAGAATGGTGTAAAAACTGGAGGATTAAAATAAATTCTAATAAATCCCATCAAATCACCTTTACCCTTCGACGTAAACCTATGACCTCATGTCCCACAGTATCCTTTAATAATACCCCACTTATCCCTGTTGAACAAATCCGATACCTTGGACTTCACTTGGACAAACGTCTAACTTGGAATCCTCATACCAGACTGAAACGACAAGAAACCGCTCGACGTTTCCGACTACTCCAACACTTACTAGACAAACGCTCTAAGCTTCCAATCAATTATAAAAGACTGATTTACATGACTATAATAAGGCCTATTTGGACTTACGGGGTTGAGCTATGGGGCTCCACCAAGCCTTCAAATTCCTCTCGCATACAGTCCTTGCAATCCAAAATCCTTCGGAAAATCCTCAATGCTCCTTACTTTGTCACCAATAAAATAATCCATAATGACCTTAATGTTCCTTATGTTTCCGATTTGGCCCAATCCAGATACCAATCTTTCCATAATAAACTTCAGAACCATCCGAATCCTCTCGTCTCTAACCTTGCTTCCTCTTCTATTCCTGATAACCCTCCGAGGCGTCTGAAAAGAAGATGGCCTCGAGATCTCTTATTGTAAATACATTTTGTTTTTAGAGTGCTACCAGTGGGTAGTTTCTCAACAAGTCATTTCATGTCTTTATTTTCTGTTATCAAATTTACTTAATGTATTTAATTTTTTAATACAGTTGTAAATATCATGTATAAATAAATAAAAAAAAAAAATTTCATTTCAAGCTTCATTTCTTTGGTTTTTATTACAGTTTTTACCTTTGTTATCGTTTTTCTTATCGTATTGTATATATGGTATGAATGTACCTTACTGATCTCTTGTACTTCGTGCCCTTACATGTGGCGAAATATATTATTTCTTAATAAAAATATTTTTTTTAAACATAAGTAAATTAAAAATAACCAGTAAAAAAAAAAACTAGACTCAGCTTTACTAACGCTAAGACTGCATGCAATAAGCCCTTCCTAAAATAAACAAGTAATGTGGCTAGCTAATATTGACTATTACCTCATGGCAATAGTCTCTCATATATACCTCATGGCCTCGGCTCTGTTTGTCTACTTCGCTAACCTTCCATGAAGGCCGCGATTCTTCTCACCACATATTTTTCTCCAATACCCACTGTAAACTATATTATGATGTACCGTCATAGAACTATTTATTTATTCAAACACGAAAAATACAACAAATAAGCGTTCATGTTTAAACGATCATGTACCGAGGATAGAACTGCTGAGGAATACAAATTAATGAAGCCACTTAAAAACATCACATTTTTGTCATTATAAAATAATAAATAAATAAGGGAACGAAGAAAGTAAGTCACTTATTTCCTAAGTGAACCCTAATCGATTTCTTTTTTTTTAAATCGGATAAATGTAACTTAAATTAAATTAAATAAGTTTAGAAGTCGGACATGTGACATTAGTTTAGGCCTCACAAGGCTAGTTTGTAAGAAGTATCAATAACCTCATGTCTATGTAACTTTATAGTTTACAATAAAAGTAAATTTCAAAGTCTTTACTGTTGTACGAGTTCGTTAATTTACAGATTGGGAAAACACGCGGTAGGTAATAAACATAAACAACTTTAGCTCCGATAATAGACTGAAATATTTAAATGAGTCATTGAATACAAAAGTGTATTAAATTAATAACTGAACCTTTTATTTTATATATATATATATATATATATATATATATATATATATATATATATATATATATTAAAAGGTTCAGTTATTACTTGAATACACTTTTGTATTCAATGACTCATTGTCAATGACTTACATATAT